GGAGAGAAAGTCTCATCATAATCCACACCATAGGTTTGAGCATATCCTTTGGCCACTAATCGAGCTTTGAGGCGAGCCACAGACCCATCTGGATTAACCTTAATAGAGAAGACCCACTTGCAACCAATAGATTTCTTGCCGATCGGCAATGAAACTAGACTCCAAGTATGATTTTGCTCCAAGGCTTTCATCTCTTCTATCATGGCAGTACGCCATCCAGGATAAGAGAGTGCTTCTCTGACAGTTTTAGGAAGAGGGACAGAATCTAGAGAAGAGGTGAGTGCACAAGCAGTAGAAGACAAATGAGCATAAGAGACACAATTAGAAACAGGGTAGGTGCAGGACCGCTTACCTTTACGCAAAGCGATGGGTAGATCATCAACATGATCAGGATCCAATGACGAAGTGCTTGACTCAGGGCGTGAGACTGGTGTAGGGGTAGGTGGTTGATCAGTCAATGTGGCAGGAAGAGATTCAGGGACAACTGAAGGTGCAATTGGTTTTTGACATGACTGGAAAAACTTCAGTGATGACACTAGACTTATCACCCATTTCAATGGACTAAAATTTGAACAAAACCTGATCGGCAGAGGAAGACAGAGCAAAAATCACCCACTGAATGTCCAAACTGAGTCTGCGCAGGTGCTTTGATGACTCAGGCGACCCTGACAGTGATTTTTGACAGTGGATCTGACGTGAGGTCTCCAACGAAGGAGAGATTCTCCAGAATTGTTCTCCTGCAACGTGCGACTCCACCCACGGTGGCGGTGACGTCAGGCGAGCACCCTTAGAGACAGCGTCAAAATGGCAGATGCCCCCCCCCCCTTTTTTTACAAATAATGAACCCTAACCCTAGAGCACACTGGCTCTGATACCATGTGACTGAGAATTAGAGGTTTTCCTCATAATTCATAATTACATATTACAAAATGACTATATATATACATAAGAAGGGTGCTAATATAAGGAAACTATATCTCCCATATTAATGCCTAAATCACCCATATTAATGGCCAAATCAGATTCTGCCATATTCTCAGGACTTAACTAAAATACTAATATTATTACTAATAACACTCTGCCTCTATGACTGTACTCTTATTCATTTTCATATGTATTAACCTCCATTTTAACCTGCTATGCTAACCTTGCTGCTGAAAAATGAATGAAGAGTATTGCAAAATCTGCTGATGCTGCTAGAGTGTACACTAAGAATACAAAGGCCAGTGTCTCCAATATATCAACACAAAGGAGGGAGAAAACCAGAAGTGTCTTAGATCCAAGTTCATCCACTCCTATTGATTCTTCACAGGTTGGTATTTGGCGATTCACCAAGTTCTATATTTAGTACTGCGTCCAAAAGTTTAAAAAAATGAGTATTTGCCCAAAGGACAAATTTCAATTCTGGCAAGGTACAACAGCTAAATTTCATGATTCCTACTGGTTGATCTAAAACGTTGTTGGTTTAACTAAACATCATATTTAACTTGTTTGCAATTCATTTTTGGAAAATTACATGAAATACCAGCTTAGGGAGTACCTCTGGGCACAGAGTCCTGTTTGCACGAGAGTCGGAGAACACCTTATGGCTTATACACTGCATGAACGAGAGTAATTTTCTATTTTGGATACTTTGCAGGCCGAAGATGAAGAGATTGAAGAGTTCTCTAGTACATCTCAGGTTGACTACATAATATGCAAATTTTACATTTGAAATAGTAATAATAATTCAGTGGTGGAGGCTAGACAAACAATTTCAATGTTCATCAAAATAATACAACAACAACAACATTACCCCAGTGCCTCAATGGCTCCCGCCCATTGCGGGGTAAGGGGGGGTCCGGGGTCGGATGTGTCAGACCCCTATGTTTAAAACATAGAGTGGCTGTTTCCAGATGACCCATGATGAGCGTCGAAAGTTGCATTGACTAACTCTTACTTCACAATTGCATGAAGCGTAGACAGTTTAAAGAGCCAATTTGCTTTATTCCATCATACCCCAAAGCCAAAGAATAGTGAATCTTTGGCTCCATAGGGGAATGGAAATGTTCATCAAAATAATGTTTGTTAAAAATTAAGTGCAGAGTATTTTATTTAAAATGATTTGTATATAATAATTGATTTGTGTATAAAACATTTGAGCACAACAATCTAAGCTTTTGCTGGGTTAATCATAACCTAATCTTTAATATATTTACTGGATGATTCAACCTCTAATATTAAGCTAACGAAGTTAACTTGGATACATTTTATGTAACTACTTTGAACCAAAGGTCGGATTGTTCTTAGCAACTCATTAAAAGTTGGATTATTTTGCGTAAAATTTCCAATACTTTTTTTAAATATCAGTTGTATGATAGTTTATCGGTACTAATTGTAATATGATATGTACAGGATATGGATGAAAGCGATGAGGATTGGATCGCTTGAATTTTTCTGCCGATGCAACGATCATACTGTGACAACTGTGGTTTAAGAGCTGTATATAGTTGCGGATTTACGAACTGGCTTCTCACAGGACAATCTATAACAGTGCAAATAATGCTCTTTAATACACTCTTTTTAAAGGACAGATCTCACTCTCTATCAATCTGATATCATAGTTCAATCTACCTCCTCCACAGTAGAAGGGACACCCTAGAGTTTCAACCTTTTTTTTGGAAAAATGGATATTGTAATCATGCTAAAGCATAAGACTTTTCATGATTGCCTAACCTTTTTGGTAACAAATCTAGGTTTGGGGTTTTAGGGTGTATTTATTCACCATTTTTGACATCATAGTGTCTCAATCACACACATACACTGCGAAAGTGTTAGTGTGTCTGTGACCCTGTAAGACACCACGGTGTCAAAAAATAGTACTTCATTCCATAATAGGGCCGGCCCAAAAGTGGGTCAAGGTGTCCTACTGGCCCTGACTCATTTTTTGGGCTTAACGTTTTTAGTTTTAATATAAATATTACTTCCTCCGTCCCAATTTAAGTAGTTTGTTTTGACTTTTGGGCATATTTAAGGAAAATAAAAAAATAGAGCTGATTTTTCAAAATTGACATTACTTTTTAGGAGGGGTGATGATGAATGAGAAGATAAGGTGAAGAAGTGTGACTTATTTTAGGGGTAGTTTAATTATTTTATTTTTAAAAGTTTACAAAAACAACTAATATGCAACTTATTTTGGGACGGAGAAAAAAAGGCAAATATGCAATTTAAAATGGGACGGAGGGAATACATACTCAGTATAAAACACTTTTTTAGGATACTTGGTTATAATACTACTCGTATAATTTTGTTATGCACATCACTATAATATTAGTTGTTTTAAAAAAATAGTTTATATGATTTATAATACTACTACTTTTGTTATGTACATTGCTATAATATTAATTTTTTCGTCTAGTTAAGGGTCATTGAATCCTCAGAGCCGGCCCTGTTTCATGTTAACTTAGTAAGATATTCTTGATACATCGAAAAATGAATAAATATAAATACTTCCTTCGTTCTTGAGTGTTTATTCATTTTTGATATTTTTCAGACAGAATTGATAGACTTTCACTTCAAATTAAATAAAAAATGATATTAGATATTGATACACAAATAGTTTTATTAAATTTATTATATCTAATATGTCTAAAATATTATTTTATTTAATTAATATATTATATATATTTTATTTAATTACATATTAAAGATTGAAAATAATTGATCGAAAATAATTAAAATTGGGCAAATATTCAAAAACGGAGATAGTATATTTTAAGACTGTGTTCATACATTTTTTAATGTACTAAGAAGGTACACTTTTGATCGAAAATCCTTCTAGGCGGCAAGCTAACATGTTTGTGTATATCATAAATAACATAGTACGTGTAAAAATATGTGCACGAATTAATGTACACATGAACGAGGCATGGTAGCAAATATTTGTGTCGAAAGGCCCTCAACTTTATATATTGTCCCATAAAAAAGTTTTATATGAAACTTAAAACAAGAAATTATTAAATGTTTTATCTCGAAGTCTTGTGTAGAAATAAAAAATGCCACGGAATATATCAAAATGGTGACACCATAATGACCCAAAAGAAAAAAAAGTAAAATATGATGGATTTACATGGCTACAAGTGAGGTTTAAATTTTCAAAATATGTTTGGAACAAGGTGAGACGTGCATTGTCGTGTTATCCCTCATCATCCGAAGATAGGGATTTACCCATTCATTGTTGAAGGGAATATTGTGTTACTCCCTCCATCCCAATTTATAGTGTTTGTTTTGGTTTACGATGTTTGACTGAAATTATTTTCAAAACATTTTATATGACAAATGGTATAGAGTTAAAAAATAAAAATTACATATTAAAATACTACATCAAAAGATCTACAAAACTAGAAGTGAGAATAGTACTTTATTTTATCAAATTGCTAATGAAAATAAAGAAAGAAAGTGGATGGAGTTTGACCCTGTGAATAGTAAACAGACACTATAAATTGGGATGAAGGGAGTAAAAATCTAGGTGGAGTGGTTACGGTTCGTAACAGCATTATGTAGAACGATATACAAACGAACATGAAGAATACTGAAAGACTAAATGAATCGCGTGATCGCTTTCAGATTAAAATCATTTTAGGGTATATCAAAATATTTCGATCCAATAAGATGTTAGTTTATGTAAAGGAGGAAAGAGAATATTTGGCATTTATTAGCATTTATTTCCGTATAATTTAGTTATGGTAGTTGCCTTGTATAGAGATTCCTTTTCCTTTGTTAATTAGGACTCTTTGCTATATATACATCTGGATTGTAAATTATAAAATACAAAAAGGAATACAAAGATTTTCATTCCGAAACAATTCTTTCATGGTATCGGAGCCAAAACTCTAGGAATTTCCGCACGATCGCCCGGCATCGCGTCCATCGATCGTTGCCCGCTGTTGCTGCCGAGAAGACCGGAACGGTCGACCATTTGTTCATAACAGTCGGAGACATCGACCGTCCCGACGGCAGAATCTCCAACCGCTGCTGTTTTTGATCCAATTCTTGAACTCTGTCATCTGGTATGTCCGAAGAAATGCCTATGAAGATTATTTCCGGTAAGAAGAATGAAGAACGAGAGGAGGAGGAGGTTGGGGTGCGACGTCGTCGTATCTCCCCTTACGATTTGTCTCCGAGCGACAATCCGGGTATGATCTTGACCCATGTCGTTCTAAAGGGAGATAATTATGATGAGTGGTCTAAATCTCTGCGCTTGGCTCTTCGAGCACGCAAGAAATTTGGATTTGTTGATGGAACAACTGAGATGCCAGATCCCGATTCAGAAGATTTTGACGATTGGTGGACAAACCATTCACTGTTGGTCTCTTGGATTCGGAACACGATTGATCCAACCTTGAGATCCAGCATATCCTTTATGGAAAAGGCTTCAGATCTGTGGAGCGAGTTGAAGGCTCGTTTCTCTGTGGTTAATGGACCAAGGGTCCAGCAGTTGAAGCAAGAATTGGCGGAATGCAAACAGAAGAATCTTTCTATAATGGAATATTATGGAAAGATGAAGAAGTTGTGGGATGATCTAGCAGATTTAGAGAGGTTCCCGATCTGCACGTGTAGGAATTGCACGTGTGACTTGCAGGAGAAGCTCACGCAGATGCGTGAGAGGGAACGCTCCCATCATTTTTTTGATGGGTCTGAACAATGCTTTGTATGGTATTTTGTGGTCAAATTTGTTGGCCCAGGAAATCATACCACCGGTGCCAAGAATATATAACATTCTTATCCAAGATGAGACGGCACGACATGACATGCACAAAGGAGAAAGCAGTGAAGCAGGTGCATCCGTGTTTGCCGTAAAGAATAAGATGGAGGTCAAAGCGCTCGTGTGCTCACATTTTGGGAAAAAAGGACATGATATTGAGGCGTGCTACAAGCTGATTGGGTACCCAGAGGGATGGGTGTACCGCAATCAGGCCGGAGGAGGAAGAGGAAACGACCAGGGAAGGGGTCGTGGTGCTGTACGAGGTGGCGAACGGTCGATCGTGGCAGCTGGACGGTCGACCGTTACAGGCAGACGAGGGGAAGTCCATGCAGTTCAAGGAGAAGAAAAAGGACCATCCCCGCTCCCGAATTTTGAGGATCTAACACCTGAACAGTGGAACGCTGTTCGTCATGCACTCTCGCTCTCCCCTACAGATAACTCACAGAAACTCTCAGGTATCACTGTATCACCTCGTTGGATAATTGATACTGGTGCGTCCAATCATATGACATGTGATCTTTCGTTATTATATGATGTTGTGGGAGTGTCTCCCTGTGAAATTGGACTACCTGATGGGAAACGGGTTGTGTCTGTTCAATCTGGAAAGGTTGATTTGACTATGACTATGACTTTGCAGAATGTGTTGTTTGTTTCAACCTTGAATTGCCATTTAATTTCTGTGTCACAGTTGACAAGGGATATGAACTGTGAAGCAAAGTTTACCAACGATTTGTGCATCTTACAGGACCTAAGTTTGAGGACAACGATTGGTGTGGGTAGACATGAAGGAGGATTGTACTACCTAAAGAAGGAAGGGAGGAGCTTGGCGTGCAGTGCTGCTAAGGAGAATGTGTTTGACCTTTGGCACAAACGTCTAGGACATCCTTCTTCGCATGTTTTATCATTAGTTCCTGTAGTTGGTTCAAATAAAAGTAGTCATAGTCATTGTGATATCTGTTTGCGTGCTAAACAAACTCGTGCCAGTTTCCCTATCAGTTTTCATCAATCTATGGACAAGTTTGATATGGTGCATTGTGATGTGTGGGGTCCTTTTCGGATACCAAGTTTGGATGGTTCTACACTGTTTTTGACTATTGTAGATGATTTCTCGCATGGTGTGTGGGTATATTTGCTTGATTCAAAACGAATTGTAGGGAGTGTTTTTAAACAATTTTGTGCCATGGTTGATTGTCAATTTGGGAAGAGAATAAAATGTGTGAGAATTGACAATGGTACAGGATTTGAGTGCTTGAATGAATATTTTTTGGAGAAGGGAATTGTCCGTGAGACATCTTGTGTGTCTACACCACAACAAAATGGCAGGGTGGAGCGTAAGCATCGACATATTCTAAATGTGGGACGTGCTCTGAGATTTCAGGCGGGTCTTCCGATAGAATTTTGGGGAGAATGTATACAAACGGCGGCATATTTGATTAACCGGACTCCCTCGTCTCTCATAAGGGGGGTTACACCATATGAGAAGCTCTATGGAAGGGCTCCTGCGTTAACTCACATTCGTATTTTTGGTTGCAGATGTTACGTTCACAACCTGAAGAGAGACGGAGATAAATTTGCACCCAGAAGTATTCCTGGAATATTTTTGGGCTATCCACAAGGAAAGAAGGGATGGCGTGTGTATTTTCCGGACACTGGGAAAATAAGCATGTCCTGAGATGTTGTGTTATGTGAAAATATTTTTCCCTACTTGATTTCCACAGGTGAAATGTTGAATGAAGATGGAGCAAGTGTTTCTTCTCTAGTTGATCACTTCGGCGATGAAGATGACATGACTGCGGAAGAGCAGCTGAACCGTTCCATGAGGAACGGTCAACCGGAGGAGACCAGTGAAGCAAGTGAGCTACAGACGGTAGACCTGGTGGACCGTCCCGCTGTCCACGGTCGACCGTCCGAGAGGCAGAAAGATGGACCTCTGGGAGTGCAACCAACGGTCGACGTGGTGGACCGTTCTGATAACCACGGTCGACCGTCCGAAGGGCAGAAAGATATCCTCCAGAGGGATGATGAAACGGTCGACCGTGACGAGGAGAACGGTCGACCGTCTCTGTAGTAGAAAGAAGACGCTCAGGAACCATTATAGACGGTCGACCCCGTGGACCGTTCCACGGATGGCGGTCGACCGTCCTCTCTCCAAAACACAACAGAGACCTTGGGGCGTGGTCAGCGGGAAAGGCGCCCAAATGTGAGGCTTGCGGACTATGTTACGCATGTGGCTGGTCCACAAATCGGAGAAAAGTGCAGATATCCACTCTCATCATATGTCACTTATGCGAAATTTTCTGACAAACATAAGTGTTTTCTCGCAGCACTTGATGAAGAAATAGAGCCTAAAAATTTCAAACAGGCCTTTCAGGATGAACGTTGGAGGAAGGCCATGCAAGAATAAATTGATGCGTTGGAAGCCAATGGTACGTGGTCTCTTGTTCGTCCTCCATGTCATAAAAAGGCTCTTGGATTCAAGTGGGTATATAAAATCAAGCGCATGTGTGATGGCAGTATAGGGAGATACAAGGCTCAGCTTGTTATACTTGGTAATCACCAGGTTGAAGGTATTGACTACAAAGAAACTTTTGCTCTTGTGGTCTAGTTGACCACCGTGCGCACCCTTTTTGCAGTCGCAGCAGTTAAGGGATGGGAATTGCATCAGATGGATGTTCACAATGCATTCCTGCATGGAGATCTTCCGGATGAGGTGTATATGAGGTTGCCATCTGGTTTCTCGAGTTCGTCCAATATGGTGTGCAAACTCAAGAAGTCTTTGTATGGCTTGAAACAGGCTCCAAGATGTTGGTTTGCAAAATTGTCTAGGCATTCAGACGATATGGATTTGTGCAGTCTGTTTCTGATTACTCTTTATTTTCTTTTGTTGGAAAGAAAGGAGTAATTCATGTTCTAGTCTATGTAGATGATTTGATCATTGCGGGTGATAGTACTGAGATGATACACAAGTTCAAGGAATATTTGGCAGATTATTTTCGGATGAAGGATTTGGGGACTCTGAAGTTCTTTCTTGGCATTGAGGTAGCACGAAGTACATCTGGAATTTTTCTCTGCCAACGAAAGTACGCTTTAGATATCATTACTGAGGCGGGGCTGTTAGGTGCCAGACCGTTGGGTGCCCCGATGGAGCCAAATCATCACTTGGCTCGTTCCCAAGCTCTTGTCCTTGCAGATCCGGAACCATATCGACGGCTGGTAGGAAGATTGGTCTATCTCTCTATTACTCGACCCGAGCTCTCCTACGCCGTGCATACTTTGGCAAAGTTTTTGAAAGAACCAAGGGAGGATCAGTGGTCTGCGGCGCTTGGGGTGGTTCGTTACTTGAAAGGGTGTCCTGGACAGGGCATTTTTCTCTCTGCAGATAGTAGCCTTCAGCTTACGGGATGGCGTGATTCGGACTGGGCAGCATGTCCTTTGACCCGGCGATCGTTAACAGGCTGGTTCGTGCAACTTGGGGAATCGCCGGTTTCGTGGAAGACAAAGAAGCAGACAACGGTGGCTCGTTCGTCTGCTGAGGCAGAGTACAGGGCTCTCGCGGTTCTTACCTGTGAGCTGAAGTGGTTGAAGAATTTGTTGAGATGCTTGGGGGTTGATCATAGGAATCCTATGATGTGCATTGTGACAGCACCGCAGCACTTCATATTGCTGCTAATCCGGTATTCACGAACGAACGAAGCATATTGAGATTGATTGTCATTTTGTTCGTGATGAGTTTTTACGAGGAGAAATTCGTGCCCTTCATGTGCCTACTACGCATCAGCTTGCAGATATTCACGCAAAGGCACTTGGGAAGTCACACCTGGAGTTTCTTATTCCCAAGTTGGGCATTTCAGCATTACATGCTCCAACTTGAAGGGGTGTAAAGGAGGAAAGAGAATATTTGGCATTTATTAGCATTTATTTCCGTATAATTTAGTTATGATAGTTGCCTTGTATACAGATTCCTTTTCCTTTGTTAATCAGGACTTTTTGCTATATATACGTCTGGATTGTAAATTGTAAAATACAAAAAGGAATACAAAGATTTTCATTCCGAAACAATTCTTTCAGTTTATAAAATAAGTATGGAACTTCTAAAAGGAAATCCATCTAGCAGTGCCAAAAGACTTCCTGTCAAAGGTTGGCTTTCAAAGTTTCAGGATTAGGAGGATTTCTTCCGGGATGTCCTCTTCACCTTCCAAGTTTTATATATCTGTGTGTGTGAAGTGAAATATAGTTACCAAAACAAAATTATGTTTAAATGGACCAATTTAAACAATGCACAATTAAAAAGGATTATTTTGAAAAGTTAGTATACGTTTTAATATTGTTTTGACATCTTTTTAACAGTCGTTAGTTAGAGAATTAAATTAAGTATTGTTTTCAATTAATGAGTATGATCTCACTAATTAATTTATCTCTAGACTAATTTAAGAAAGAAGAATTTACGTAAATAGCACTAAAACATAATGACTTTCTCTAAATAGCATCACATGTGTTTTTTCCTAATGCAACATTTTTAGTGATTATCCATTAATCATTATTCAAGTAAATTTTGTCATCACTGGTCATTATTAAGTGATATTTAGAGAATAAAACAGTTTAAGTGCTATTTAGAGAAATAACTTAAGTTTTAATGCTATTTAATGCAAATATTTCTTTAAGAAAATACATAAGTGGTATTTTAAGAATTTTTACAAAATCTTTTACCAAGTGTTATTTGATGGTTTTCTAGAAAACCATATATCATGAAAAGCTGAATGCGCTTTTGGCCCAAATTTCTTCATGACCAATTCACCTAACTGGCCCAAGGAAACCAAGACCACCACCTCCGGCGGAAGAAAGAGTAGTCACGTCCAATGTTCTATGTCATACACTAATTAACGTTGAAATCGATTTCCGACAATTGCACGGGAAAACAAACATACTAGGCATAGTAACTCTGCAAGTATCAGGTGCATGCTTCATTCTTTAACAACAATCTGTAATCAAAGTCTGATTTACCTCCTCTTAGTACCGTCTGACTGGGTCTAAGGAGACCCTCAGGAATGTGGCTCATCCTTTTTTTAAAAACAATATTTTCTATTAACCTTAGTATTATTATTATCAGGTACAGACTCCGCTCTTTGCTAATAATCTGTTATCAAAGTCAAATTTACCTCCTTTCAATATCGTCTGGCTGGGTCTGAGGATGCCCTCGAAGATGTGGACCTTAGTATTTTAGATATATTAATAGTATGAACCAAATTTAGAAATATTAAAACAATATTTCTAGGGATATATTAAAACATAATATGTCATTTGTACACCAACCAAAAATAGACACACACAAACATTCCATATTTTTGTATGCATAGACATTGAGTGTCTATGTGTGTCGGTTTTTTCTTGTTGTACAAATCGGATATCGAATTGTGGTCTAAGTCTAGCATTGCCATATTAAAATTTAATGTTATTATAGATAACATTTTTTAAAACACTAAAAGTAAACATTGAATCTATAATGGCAAATGCACATTGTCAAGCTAGTATATTACTCCCTCCGTCCCATAAAGTGTTACCCATTTTGACTAAAGTTGAAATTAAGGGAGGGATAATTTTGTGTTGACTTTCCAAAAATACCCTTGATGTGATGGGTAAAAGTAGGATGTGATGTGTAGATTATTAAGAAAAAGGTATGATGTGATAGGTAGGGTTTGAAAAAGTAAGGGGTAAAAGTGGTTTTTAATAGAAATTGGTAAGGGATCGTGGGACACAATTTTTTTGAAACGTGTAAATCTTTTTGGGACAGAGGGAGTATTTATCTAACAATACCTTTTGGTTCAAGGTATTTAAAATGGAAAATAAAAGAAAATATAATAAAGAACAATTTTTTTTTGAACAAAATGCACATTTTTATGATTCACAAACAAACCAGTCAAAAAGTTTTACACATCATGTAACTATACTCTACCAACATCCAACTATTTTACAAGTGAAAATTCTAAGGTACAATAAAACATTCTTAAGGTAATCTTCTTTATCTTTGCTTTTATTGTGAATAACATCATTCCTCTTTTTCCAGATGGTATAGCATACTGCCGCCCACCCTGCATTAGTCATTAGTTTCCTATTCTTTGTCTTAATGTTCCCCAGTTCTGTCTCCATGTGCTCAAGGGAAGTAGCTTTGCATTTTATCCCCATATTCATGAAGATTTCCTCTATAATCTCTTTTGCAATAGTGCACTCCCAAAACAAATGCTCGAATGTCTCTTCTTTATTCCCACAATCTGCTTGGACTTCCAGATATCTCCTTAGTCTGCTTCTAATCTTCAGTCTTTTATGTTTGATGAGCCAAAGAATCATTTGATGTTTCGGGTGTGTAGCTTTGCTCCAAACCCACTTGTACCACTCATTTCTCGGTGTATCCTTCAGCAGCCAATCATATCCCTTGCTGACGGTATACTCTCCAGGAATATTATAGTGCTTAAAGTCTTCTTTCACCTCATTCATCATTCTCCAATAATAAGGGCAATCCTTTTTTGGTGTGTAGGTCCATAAAGAACAATTTTTCTTACTGGTAAAAGAGGAAAAGAAAAGTAAAAGAAAATGGAAATGAGTACGAAATACACTAAGAAAAGAAAATAAAATTTTCTCATTCTAATAAGGAAAATATGAGAAAATCATTTTCTTTTATTCTTTTTATGAATTCCTTAAACCAAACATAGTATATAGAAATCATACAAAATACCGAGTACATCTCGTCTTTTTTTTGAGAACCCGAGTGATGGTGTAAATATAGCGGGGTGGGTTAACCGGGTTTGACCTGGACACACTCGACCCGTAATATAAAACACACAACAAGAACACAAAGTATGACCTAGACCGGGTAAATCTCCTCAGTCAGAATTATATTTCTTACTCTATCTCAAGAGTGAACTTTAGTGAGAGAAATTGGATCCCCTCCTCTATCCAATATCATCATATTTATAGAGGAGGCTTTGTGACCTTCCCCTGTTCATCCATGGACAAAATAGGAAGCTCGTGGGAAGGTCACTGTAGATAATGGAAGCACTGTACAATCATGGACTTGCCACTAATACAACCAAAAAGCACTGTTCAATCAAAGACTAAAATGGATATTCTCAATCCAATCAACCCT